TAAATGAATTTTCACCCTAATGATAAAAAAACGCATAGACTGATTGAACATTTCCATTAAGTCTAACTTAAAAGTTGAGATCTTTATTTTATTGAGAGATTAAAGCTAAAAGGTACTTTAAAAAGAGCAAGGGGGGCGGAAGATTGATAATTATGGGCTTATATTCATATGTTACCTATTGCATTAGTTACTATATTGAAATCAATTTTGATTAGAGATAACAGAAATATGAATACATAAATTTAGCCGCCCCAATCATCAATCTACGTCGCCCTCTTAGCGCTATTAGTTATGACTTTTTTAATGGTTTTACAACATCTTTGTCAGCGCACAGCACACATGCAGAAAGATAGTCATATCGCACTTAATAAGAATGAAAAATCTTCCATAAATTACCTGTCGTGTAGCTCTTAGCTGGTGTCAACAAATTCACAAGTTCTAGTAAAAAATGAAATGACAAATGCCAGCAGACATCAACTGGTTCTCACATTACGCAGAACAAATTTATGAAAAAAGTGACTATTGAGTTTGTACTCAATTGTACTCACGTAACCCCGTACAAATTTAGTCCAATGTCGAATATCGTGAATGCTCCATTGTCAAAAACAATGGATGAAATCTGTCAAACATCAATCCCATATCTTTTCGAGCTTTATAAATTAAATCTTCTTACTAAACCGACTGAAATAGCAGGAATCGTACGTTGTATGGGTAATTTCGACAAGTTGCATAGATTGGATTCCTCAAATGTAATTACTAAAAGAATCTTCAAGTATTTCTTGCATGTGAACAGAGATTAGACACGTTGTACTTGTGCTACAAGTAGGAAGTTTTATCTTGTTATTATCTTAATCTGTTGGAGTTATGGCTAGAGGCAAGACGTCAAATGTACTTTTGACTTGACGCTTGAAAAATTTAGATAGTGTTCACTTTGATGAAGCACGTATAAAAGTATTTAGCTATTTATGAATATTTGCTGTTTCCTGTTGTCAGACAACACAAGCAAATAAATGCAGGAAACCCAACAATCCGCTTCATATAACGTGAAGAAGCCCCGAAGTTTGTTGATCCAATCAATGTAATCGCTAATAAATAAATTTCGTTCATATTATAACACATTTCGGTTAAAGTAGTGAACTGTAATATACATTGTAATACCTTGATATTACTTACATTAAGTCAAACACATCAAACTACAACTTATGAGAGTCTTTTCTTGCGTGAAGAAAGAGAATAGAAAAAACATGTGTATAATGCTTGCATTTTACATGCTAAGTAACAGCTAAAAGTGACGCAAGTATTATGTTACAGTTAAACCCTTGTTAGCTTTCTGAGAGCTTGTAGTATTTTCAAATTTAAGCTACAAAGAACAGTGTTACTGTACTTGTCAGCTTAACTTGGAAACATGTTTGCCAACGTTGCATGTTTTGTTCAGCTTTCTGTTATGTAACGTGGTCTAAAGAAATAAAATTTTTCTGACAGATATGGATAGCAGAGTGTAAAGTTAATACTTGTGTTGTTCTCTTTAAGAGTATCTTAAACTGCTCACATCAACATATTTTTTGGCTGTCTATTTTGAGTTTTCGAGACTGCTGAAGGTGACTAGTTTGCGTTATCCTTCTCTATAAATGAATGAGATAAAACATTAACAGACATATTTTTTCGTTAAGTAAAAAGAACTTTAATTTATCTTTGATAAAGCTGTTTAAATAACTTAGCTAATTAGTTTTTCCTGCTTTTGATAAGAAACCAGACAAACTAAATTAGCTACTACGTGCTTGATGGCTTATCTAGGTCGTATTTTTCAGCTCTGTTTTGACTGCACTAAAGTTCAATCAGCATAAAAATTATGAAATCTTTCTTCTTTTTGCTTTACAATGACAAATAATAATAAGAATAGTAAGAAAGAAAACAAAAGTAGAGATTCCAACAATATAAACAATTGCAAAAGTGACATGGGCAGGCGATGAATCTACAAGAAGATCATCAAATATATGTTTAAACTTCAATGTAGAAATATTTTAACTTGAAGTGTTTTGAAAGAAAAGAAAATTTACCTTTTGAGGAAATGGTTTCTCTACATGAAGACCTTCTCTTCTTTTTTGATTTAACAGTCTGTGTTGGTAAAGCTTTTGGAATAAATTATAAAATGTCAATAGTAATTATTCCATCATGCATAGCTAATTACATATATATATAACTACTATATGATTTCGACTTGTAGAATAAAGCTTGTGTAGGCGATGTTGCTGCACGCCACTTACGTGACGTTGCTATTGCTAAAATCAAATGAAAATTTCGATACAGCTAAATTAGATAAATCAATTTGATAGAAAACTCAGCAATCATAATATAAAATTGAAAAGTATGTAGCTTAACATCAAATGTGCAAAAAAACTGTGTAAAGCTCAGTGATATCTGAATCCGTTTTATTCCCACTCAAAAACAGTTCAATCACAAAAGCCCTTATATGTACTTCAAAATCTATTACTGCGTGAGTTCTTCAAAACATATTACGCTATTTCTCAAGCTAAAACTTCAAGAAAATAACAGAAAATAGAAAAGAGTTACGTTTATAATGATTAGTGCAAACATAATGATTAGTGCAAACATATTACTATACGTCCGGCCACCCTTACTATCAGTCGAGACCATTCCAGACTGTCCACTGATCTGGCTATTGACCAATAAAATAAGCGTTTTTGACGTTTATAGACTCCTTTATCCGTCGAACCAGTCAAGCCACCCCGCTTATCAGTCGGTTATTCCAGGTCAATTAAAATTCAACTGATCTGGTTACCAACGATATCTTCATTGGATTAGTAATCAGTGTTCAATAATAAATAATGCGGGATTTTTATCACGAAGTAAATGCGATAAGAAAATAAGAATAATTAATGAATTTTTAATTAATATGAATAGGTAATTTTTGAATTTCAAACGTCAGTCGCGCGACGGATTTGACATACTCTAGATCCGACCCTGAATTCCATGTATAAGCAAATCTGAAAACATACAACAAACAATGATGCAGTGGCACCATAAGTCTACAATAAAGTAACTCATGTTTTAACTTTACCCTTCAGATATTTTCCTCCAGTCACTTGGTTGCGAAGGAGCCTTCATGTATGTGGGGACCAGAACTCTCCAAAGTGCATTACACGTATCGTAAACAAACTCACGAACTGTGCTAGCGCCACGACGATAAGCAAATGCTATAGACTGTGGGCTATCACCTGTAGCCAATCTTCTTAATGTGATTGCTAGTCTTTCAGCATGTCCAACTGCTTGCCTCATTTGAGTATCTTGCCTACGAAGCCTACGAAGAGATGGACCAACCAAAGCCAGCAGCTCATCAAATATTTGAGGGCTCATGCGAAAATACAGATTAAACGGCTCCTCATCGGTTCTTAGTTCTTGAACCAAGTGCAGAAAATCTCCTTGTACTCTCATTTGCCTGTTTATTGACGAGCCCATCATCTTTTCATTTTATTATTTTTTCCCGTTTTTCAACCTCTTCCAGCTCGTACAATATGCAAACAGATGCTAGTAACTTAGCCTGATGACTAGACGCCATGTTGATAGTCGCAACGTGGTCGCCATGCTCGTTTTTGCATGTGTGTGTTTCTGACGTTCAAGCGACAAACGCGTGCGCATCAATTCGCTTTAGTCCCGCGACCAAAGCGACTGCACAGTGTGTTTCAGTGTGTTGTAGAATTATGTTAGCGAGTATGGGGCCTAAGGAGTAGTACATTGAAACCCCCATCGGTTTGTTTAAAAATTTCATTGTCGAAAGAAAAAGCGCTTTTAATGCAGCAGTCAATAATAAGTTTTTTAAGAGTTCTTTTCTCAAGTTTAGTTAAAATTTGATTTTCTCAAAAATTTCTTTCCAAAAATATTTTTATTGCTCTGTTCAAAGGCACGTTGGTAAATAAAGATTCGACGTTAAACGAAACGAATTGATAGCCTTCAATAAATTTTTAGGAATAATGTGGATAGAGTTTACGTCAACAAACGAATCGTAAGAGTAAATTCATTAGAAGCGAGAGG